TGCAGCGTTTGAAGGCGTCCAAGGCGTGCGGGGCTTTCAGACGCAGGTTGATCAGCACACATCATTCAGTTTCGGCGTCTCTTGAGGGGTTCTGTGGTGGCCTTGCAGCCAGCGATTCTTGCGTGTGTGTCTCTTAGATTTGGTGGTGTGCTGGCAGGACAACGGCGGCTTGAAGCCGTCAGAGGGCGTGACTTAGCTTCAAGATCGAATCAGAGAGACATTATGGCTGCAACGAATGCAGCCAGCCCAGCTGGTTCGCTCTTAGGTATGGGATTCAAGTCTAGGCGGCATTGTGCATGTTGTGCTACTTCGTAACTAGTAGTCTTGTCCTGCTGCGAAGCGAGTCACTTGGTTCATGCGGTCCCGGACAAGCCCTGGTACCGGATGCAGTCTCGTGAGTCGGCGATTTGGTGTGTCAGACTCCGACTGTCACCAAAGACTGTGACTGGAGCAGCTGGCAGCAAGCACTCCAGATTCTCAGTGGCGAGAACTTCCTTTATGGCGCTGACCTCCTCTTTCTGTGGTCGGATAAAGTCAAGGGCTTTCAGTGCTTGCGCAACGTGCATCTGTGGGACAGGTGGTGTTGAGTCTGAGGAGTCTGAGCATGAAATATGGTTTGCATGGATCCAGGTTGCGCATACAGTTTCTAAGGCTGCTGAGCCAAGGGCCTGGCTCGGGTCTATGAACAGTGTAATTATTCAATTTTGTTGTTGCTCCCGCATTGACATGGTGTTCATCTGGCGACGTAGGTGACAGGTAAAGGTTAGAGTTAAGTGCATCCACAACAGAGTATATTGCCAGGATCCTTGACTGGAGCTCTGAGGCAGCAGAGGGATACAATACGAGATAAGGTTTGATACCGCCTTGGCTGTTTCAGAATGTTTCAGAGACGTGCCCCGTCTTGGGTAGGGGGACCTTGGCTGGACGCGAAACACTTGGTAGGGACTTCGGTAGTTGTGCAGGCAGCCCCAATGACATGACATGGGAACTCAACCTGCCGATTCTTTTGCCGGCTGTGCGCCTTGAGGACACTGTCATGCTGCGAGCCTCAGATGGAGCAGCTGGACCTTCCGTCCCGCAGCCGCATGGGGCTTTCAGGCTTCAGTGTTCAGTTCAGTTTGTGAACGAACGTGTAATCCGAACGGCGGGAAAGCTTGTTGCATCGTCAGCTTGTTCGCGCCAGCATCAGGGTTCCGAAATTGAGACAAGGTCACAAGCTTCGTCCGGGACGAGCTCATGAGCCACATCAAATGACCTGCAGGCAAGTAGGACTGAAGGGGAGACCATCCCGCAGCAGCAGAATCCGTTTGGCCACGACCGCCGATACTGCAATTGTCCGACAGGTTGGTGCTGTTGATAAATTCCGCAGTGAGCCTCGAAGACCACTCACCCCGAAGGATTCTGCTGCAAGCGATGCTTCTGCCTCAGCCCTACGCACATGTAGGTAAGGTCCTCCTCCCTCACGCTTTGCGGCTCATGGAGGATGCACGTATCGGGGTTCCAGCTTGTTATGCAAAACGCGCATGCACGCAAAACTAGGGGCTAGGAGGAAGCTGCCGTCTGTCGAATCAGTCTCAAGACCTCTCAAGCCATGTTTGTTTGGCAAGACCAGCTCTTGCTGAACCCATGTGGAGCTACTGTATGCTTAACAACTGCGCCGCCCTACAGGTCAATGACCGACTGCACTAAGTGCAGTTCCTGGCGAGCACGTCGGAAAATTAGTCGCACGTCGCGTTGGGCCCTCGAACGGCCGCAGAGCAGCCGTGCGAACCGGGGCCCCGACCTACGCGACGATGCAAAGCGATCTTGGCATGCAGGACACTCCATGGCCACTTGTAAGGTAGCCAAGCCTTGAGTTTCACCCCTAGACTTCCAGGCGCACAAAAGCATCCTCAGTGCCTGTCCTGACTCGTAGACAGCAGTTCGCAGGTCCGCAGGTTGTGTCCAGCCAGTGCTAGCGATGCTGCCGTCAGCACTTCTAAGTACCGCCACACTGTAAATGCTCGTTGCTCTCGGTAAACATGCTGCATCTGAGCAGGTAAGCCGCAGCTATTCAGCGACAGGCATGAAATTGCGTGCGCTCCGCAACTACAGGGGGTCATAATCGGTGCGGAGTGGCTTCCTCAATTGGGTTCACCTTGACTGGCAGTGTATCCGGATTGCAACATAGTTCTCACATGTCCTCTCGCAGGGCTGGGCCTGGGGATATCAACACGTACATGGACAACACATGCTAAACACACATCAGCCCACTGTCGCTCTTCGATCATGGCGTCTGGCTCCGGACTGAATGCGTGGCAGTACTGTGCTTTCGTGGCGGGGCACTTCGGGCTCTGGATTTCTGGCACCGGCACCGTCACGAGAGAGCACTCGGGTCATCGAAGCCACGAGCTGCAAGGACCAATCACGACCTCCGTGCTGGAGGCTCATCGCCCGGGGCTCGTTGGTGGTCTTTGTAAGGCAGTCGGATCTTTGAAGCTTTCTCCTCTCATGTCGTGCGAGCTAGTCTAGCTGACAGAGACAGAGCCGAGGTCCTGATGCAATCCAGATCCCAAGCTCGAAGGGAGCTGTCAAGCATGTACAGATCGACAAGAAGGCACCCTTCCTAGCGAGATTCACATGCTTTCCTGAATGGCCTCGTTTGTCTCCCTAAAGTCGGGCCGAAAGCCAGGCCCTGGAGCACGGCAAAGCTTCTGAGGAGGAGGACGAAGACGGGCCCATCTATCGCAAGAAGAGGCCTGAAAAGTCGGTAAAGCGCTAGCTGTGGCATTCTCAAGCTTGCACTTCTTCAACAAGCACCGTAGATGCTCAGCTGATGAGTAAGAGCGCGGGATCTCGGGATGCCAGAACTTCTCGCGTGGAGCTGCCACCAACCTGGCTGGCATTGAAGTATCCTCTGACAAATGCCAAGGTCTCAGATCGAGCCTTCATCCAGCACAATTCAAGCTTGCCGTACACAGCTCTCAAGTGGGGTAAGTCGCAACGGTGTCCATGCATCCGTACACCACACGAAGCTGCCTTACCACATTTCCAGAGATCGGCCAGCTTGCGTCCTTTCCCATCCGCAGCTTGGATCAAGTCCCTGGCAGAAGCTCAAGGACTCCAGGAGGAGCTTCTCACAGGTTGGAGGCTTGGAAGGCTCTTCGTTTTGCTCGGGTGCTTGAGCTGAAAGAAAGGGCGGGAATGGGCTGGAGGACATTTCGCCATGTGAGGAGCTTCCTTGTTTGGTCATAGCTTCTGTTGCCCAGCCAGGGAGCCTGCAAGTAATTACTGCTCGAAGCATAAGTGCCACCTCATAAGGTCATGGTAGCCAAGTGTTCAAGGTCCTTCAACAAACAAGCCGTCGTACAAAAGATGTCAAACTTAGCCCTGAGCCTGGAACCTTTTCGCAGCTCAAGGCGGCAAACATGGCCGCCTGCGCTCGTACGAGGCTCCTTATGTGTCAGCAATTCTCTTGGAGGGTTTGACGTTCAGTAATTTAGAGCCTACGGTTCTGGTTCCTCGACTGCTATGTCAAACAATCACATCCGCGAGCCTGGGCTGTAAAGCTTTCAGTTTCACTTGGAATCTCCGCGTCTGATATTTTCATTTCTCGGCCACATGCTGGAAGAGTCGTAATTCAAGACGTCGCATCTTCGAAATTACTGTACCACCAGGCGGCACTTTAGCTTCAGCATGGCAGCGGCGCTCGCTGCCCTAGTCGTGTCGCTGGTGGCGGCGGGGCCACGACGTGAAGTGGAGCAGTGTGCAACTCAGCCAAAACGAGCCTTTTGTTGCAGTTCTCGACCATGATGAGGGCCAGTGGCGGCTGGTCCGCATAAATGAGATACAAGAAGAACAGTCGGGTGGCTCACAGTATTTACGGTTAAATCTTTGCAAGGGGCCGAGGGCCAGAAGCTTCGTCAAATTTGTTAATGCGACCATCCAAGGATAACGATGTTCAGGACCTGATTCAGACCAAGGCTGTGTTGCGTGCCTGCAACAGAAGCAGTAGACATTCTTAGGAAGCCGTCCAGTAAATGCGCCTCGTCGTCAGACGGGGCACGGGAATCAATCATTTGCGCTTGATCCTCTCCTGCGCTGCTGAAGATACAACTTGATACAACCTGAGTTCACTGCTTTGCATACCGAGGCGCGACCAACAACAAATGTCCGCGAGCCATGTAGCTGGCACCAGTAATCCTTCAGCAGATCTGCAAACGGTCGCTTGGTGGAATCATAGGACCAAGGCAGCACTCACACGCTATCTGCTGTCAGCTGCATGTGGAACACTCAGGT